AAAATGCTGCAGATGGCAAAGGTGTACATGGATGAGGCTGATTTTGATGACAGCGACACCTGGTTTCATGATGGTGGGGATGATGAACCAAGAGAAGAGGAAGTGAAACTTGAGGTCAGTGTGACTATAAGTCTGTAAGAGGTGAAGGACAGTGAAGTTCAGTCCATACATGTATTGATTAAACATCCACAGGTTTATGATTTAATGACTATAAATGACATATATGTAGATGTGCATGTATCATACATGTATTTTGTGAGTGCTACATGTATTTTGTGAGTGCTACATGCTTACGTTAGAGAGGCATAGAGCTATTTTACCTTTCTAGTATAAAATTATGTGCTTTCCCTTTAAGTGTATTTAACTTACACCCATCCGTAATTGCTCTGTGGTAGTGGCCAACTCGAAAGCTTGGCGCCTTTGGCTACTACACACTCTTTCTGCTGCTTTGTGTGAACTCATGTATAGTTAGAACTCTCTTCTTTTTTTTTCTACCTTTTCTCTTTCTCGTTGTTTTATTTTTAGTAGAATAAGTGTGAATAAAAGAATGAATGAATGAGTGGCCTTGTGGTTAGTGCGCTGGAATCTTGATCAAGTGATCTAGGTTTGAGCCCTGGCCAGGGACATTGTGATGTGTTCTTGGGCAAGAGCGGTAAATTTAATGTTGTGGGGGAGGGGGGAACCCTGTTATGGACTAGCATCCTATCCAGGGGGAGTAGAATTCAACTCCTTATAGTTGCTTCATGCTACAAAAACTGGAGTTAAGCGCTTGCTTGATGTGCCACTTGGCTCATAAAGAGACACAATGCTTATGTTACAAATACAGTGGATTTTTTAATTATCATTTGCCATTTATGCTGAAGGGCTAATTGTGCCAAATGCTGCTTTTCTCTTCGTTTAAAAAAGAATTGTGTAAGTGAATAAACAAATAAATAAAATCAGCCCTGTCAATCAAATCAGCTATAGTGAAATTAACTGGATAAGTCAGTGTTATTTAATAGCAAGGAGTTTGAACACTTAAACTTGTCATTTATAATAATATATAATGCTGATTTCCCCTTGCATTTTGTATTTTGTTTCCTTCACATGAGCTTCAACATAGGTAAACTGCTCACAGATCTTTTAGTTTATTAACGGCCATCTTTAATTTCCTTTAGGATCTGGTAGAGGGGGAAGAAGCTTACACAGTTGAGAAGCTCTGGGGTCTGGGTCCAATCAAAAAAGAACCACCAGTGGAGAATCCAAATGATGTGGTTAATTTTGAAAGATATAAGGTAGAATTGATGCACTGATAGAAAATGTGTGTTTTTGCAAGATGTTACCCTAATTCTTTCCACCCTAACAACAGTTGGCATACTCTCCATACTGTTCTCTATACATTTCCCAAGGTTCTGATAAGGAGAATTCATCTAACAATCAGCAGCTTCTTCAATAGTCAAGGCTTTGCTCTAAGGAAAATTGAATGGAGGCCAGTGCTCTGAAACTATGAAATCCAGGGTTCCCAGCATTTGATTTGTATGAAAAAACTAAACTTCCTGATGAGTTGCCCAAGAGCAAAAGTAAGGTGCCAGGGGCCACCAGGGGCAGCTAGACCACAGCCTTGATAGTTGATCATTTTCTTTATTCTGACTTATGACCTTATTGTGTGATATTTTAAGGAGAAAAGAAGGTGTGTTCTCTATACTGTTCTCTATAGATTTCCGAAGCTGCAGACAAGGAGAATTTGATTAACAGTCAAGAGCTCCTTTAGTTGATGATCATTTCCTTTATTCTTGTGACCTTATTTTGTGATAATTATGTTAAGGAGAATTTGGATTCTAGTCACTATTAAAAGCTAAAGGGTTTAATTTAAAGTAAGCTTTCACGATGATTAGATTTCCATCATTAGTACATGAAGGACAACTCTCTAGCCTGCACAGCAGGCATAATTTGGGCAAGCAACTGCTCAGTATTTTCTTAGTGAAATATGGCTGCCAATAGACCATTTTACAGTTGTGTACTTAGTTGCCAAGCCTTTGATTTAAAGGGAGGCTGAGGGTGACATCATTGTGATAGAGACCAGCATCTAGTTAGCATGATAACAAGGAAATTTGCATTTGAAAAGCAGCAACATCTGTATCATAACAAGGTCACCCTTAGCCTCACTCCTGTTCAAAGGCTTGGCCACTGAGCCCACAACTGTAAAAAGGACTATTCTTTGATTTTAGTGGCAGCGGAAGGCTGGGGAGAGAAAGAAATTTGTACTTAGGGGGTGAGTGACAGTCAAGCATAAGGAGAGGGGTTGGGTTCGGGGAGTGAATATTATTCTCACCCCTTGACCTGCTCCCTTCCCTTACTGTCGACTCTGCATGACACCAAATTATACACGGCTGGTTAGATAAACAATTGCGCACTTCTTAGCATTAACTTGCCTTAATGAGACACCTGTGCTGTAGGCGAACAACACTCCTGAGCAAATAACTATCTGCTTCAAAATTATATATAGCCACTACTTTTTGAAAGGGCAGCAATTCTGAAACACACATTCTTAAATTACAAAATTCAAGTTGTAAAGGCCTTGCTGGCCCACAAGAAGTGTTACTTCATGTATTAATTTTTCTCTAATTGGCTATGAATTTTTGTTTGCTGTTTAGGGATCAAAGATTCTTATGACTGAGGCTGACCTGAATGGCACATGGAGGGTCGCCGTGGATGGAATGGCAACTGAAGAGGAGTGTAAGATGTTGATTAAATTAGCTGAGGTATGCAGTTTGTTTCTGTTGAATGTTTTGGGGGTGCTACAATTCTGCTGTTTCACCAAGATGTCCGCAGCAGTTATGACCTAACACCCAAATTTTCATATGCCTCTTCCTCTTGATGCAAGCCTCTTCTCCCTTCAAGCCACCCTTACTTAAAAGACAAAATATACACACTTTCTAGGATCAGTAACATGCACTGCTTCACTGTAGCCTGAGAGGTCATCAGGCCTTGATTTGAAGTAAAAGAAGAAATTCTTTACACGTCCTGTACAAAGCAAAGATACAAATAATTATACTCCTGACAGGCATTTTAATTAATTAAAACCAATGTTAGTAGTTTTTAAAGGAAATTGAACATGAAAATACACTTTCTTGCCTCCAATTTACTGTTGGCAACAAAAGTTTTCAAAGTCTGAATTATCCCCCACAAAAGATACCAGCTGCTTTAGTCTGTGTTTCAGAAATTGATTTACAGCCTGTAATTGTGTTCTTCTAAATACGATATGTTTACTTACCCTGTTTATGTTTATGATTTATTTTGCTTTGTATAGCTCCACACAGATTTGCTGCCAACTTTTAAGTTTTAATCGTAAGGCATAAAGATAAGCTTAATTACTGTAACAAGCTGGCAGCCATCATTTGATAACATCAAGTTTATGTTGCACTGGATTACATGTATCAAACAAACTCGTTGTAAACTGTTCAATTTTAGCTTGAAAGGATATAATTATGTGTGTTTAGTCAAACTAAAAATAACAACCTTTATTTGACAATAAAACAAAACAAAACAAAGAAACAATAACACCAGAAAAATATGTAAAGAGAGCTTGCACATCATATAAAAAAACAACAAAAAACACATTTTTTCACCCATCTTTGTTGAATAAAGCGAGGAGTCATACTTTATCATTTTCCAAACCCTGTGCTCATATAGAAAAAACAAAGTACTGTCTTGTGATTTTACTCAAAATTGATAAACGAATGGTCCAAAAAATAATGGCATTTGCAGCCTTCGTTAATTGTCCTATACCTTGTGCAAGTTATTTCAAGTGATTTTTGCCAGCTTGTTAATGACATTTAAATGATAAAATAAAAGACATGACCCTCTATAACGGTAAAATGTGATGAAACAATGATTACTTGCAGTTACATGTAAACCAATAAAATATCTTTTTAGCAAAGGTAAAGTTTGCCCCTAACAACAATAAACTTAAATCATTTTTAATTATTACCTTTTTTTTTTTATAATTCCAGATATTTTGATTTGATTTGATTTGGTGTATAATTAATTAAAGTGAACTGATGGTAGACAAGATTATAAATTTAAAAAAAAGTAATTTAAAATTGAATGTATACAAAATGTTTTGATTGTAAACATATGGAAAAGCTAGAATTTTAATTCTAAACAACAATATATTGTAATTTCTGGCCACCCTTTTCAGATTCCTGCATATGCAAATCATGCTTGAATTAACTTTTGATCAGCGATTTTGAAATTGTTTTGAAACTAGAGACTAAGGACAGTTATGTGACAACAGTGTTAAAGTGCAAGGTAAAATCTGACATTTTCCATTCTATTTGTCCAAAAGTGAACTAATAGATAGACAAGATTATAAATTAAAAAAAAAATTAACTTAAAATTGAATGTATACAAAATGTTTTGATTGTATACATATGGAAAAGCTAGAATTGTAATTGTAAACAACATTATATTGTAATTTCTGGCCACCATTTTCAGTCCTGCATGTGCAAATCGTGCTTGAATTAATTTCTGATCAGCGATGTTGAAATTAATTTGAAACTAAAGAAACTATGGACAATTCAGTGACAACAGTGTTAAAGTGCTAGGTAAAATCTGGCATTTTCCATTCTATTTGTCCAAAAAAAAAAAACAAACAAACAAACAAAAACTCGAACGTCGCAGATTATTGATGACTAAAATCTCTTGATATGCAGTCACTTATTAACAATTTCTTCCATTGGAGACTCTGCCTATCAAAACTTTGACTTCCTTTGTCAGAATTTTGTACTGATTCCATCGTTTATTCATTGAAAACAGTAGAAAGGGGATAAAAGCCATCATGATTGTCGTGTGAACAGTTACATGAATTAAAAGCGTGACGTAATTTTGTACTAGTTAAAACATGCTTTCCTAAGACTATGAGTTCATCTTGTG